GTTTCTTTGCATTTTTTCACATCTTATGGTTTCTAATTTGCTGTACTCATAGGCCAAAATCCACATCATGGATTCATCAATGGCAGTGTATTTTCACAGAACTCAAAAGGATCGTGAAAAAACATTCAAAGAATCAAATCCCTAACTTGTGTCTTAAATTTGCCTGACATTACCAATATGCAAAAGACCACCATCAAGATTTGGTTTAAGACGATGGGGGATTCACTTCCGGCTCTGGGTTATCGTCTTCCATTTCATCTTCACCGGTAGAGTCCCTGAAGATTTAAGAGATTTCAATCAAATTATCAATCTCCTGTTAATAAGTTAGACAATGAAGATCTCAAGGGTTTGGTATATTGGAATAGGAGGAAGCTTTTTGTTACCTGTCCATAGTTGGGCGACTAATACCTGAGAAACCATGAAGAGGTTTCTCATCATCGTCACTGTCTGATTCGTAAGCTGCAGTTCCACTCCAAATACGAGGCTTTGGTCTTTTCTCCATGTCTTCTTCCGGCTGAAACATTTATGAAAAAATATATCTAATGAGTCGGTCTCAATAGGACAGGACGAAATGAAACTAAAACAGCAATAGATGATTGAAGAATACCTCTTCCAGAACTCGATTGACTGGTGGTGTGTGCTGAAACTGCACACTGGGTGCGTGCATTAGTCCCGAAAGTTGTTCTAGCAACGTGTTCCTGAAATTTCAATAAGCTAAGTTCCATATATCCCATTGACAAGGCCAATGAAGTTCAGAGGCTAAAAGCTATGAACATGTAATGTAAGCTTTCCTAAACTACTGAACCAATACGCAGAGATCAACTCCTATGCTACATTGCGATTAGGAAGAAGTTCATTTCCAGCAGAAGTACAATAAATAGTCATACAAAGGGCAGTAGGAGATATTACCTTATCTTCTCCATATCTTTTGGTGTGTTTAAATTCTCCATTGGACCTGGGTCGACATGAAGCGTATAGTCTGGGCCGAAATACTCAAAATACTCATTGTATGGGAGTTTGTTGTCTGGTTCTACTCCAACCGCAACTGCAGTCTGCAAGGAATCAAAAGAAACAAACGTTTCAAGAACAGACACTTATATAATAGCAAAAAAAAGAAAAAAACATAGAAGAAGTGCAGAAGAGATGAAAAGACCTCATAAGTCCAGCACCGGGCTACATTTCGAATAGTATAGCCTCCACCACCCAAGACCATGAGAGGAACATTGTAAGATCTTAAAAACCGGAGGCAATCAGCATGACCCTTGACTGATAAATTGAAGCAACCCAACCGATCACCGCTTAAGGAGTCAGCCCCACACTGAAGAACAACTGCTTCTGGCTGATACACCTCCATAACCTTCTGAATAAGAGGCCTAAACAAGCTGCGGAAACTTTGATCGTCCATACCATCGTTTAATGGAACATTTAGAGCATAGTATTTTCCTTTTTCCGCTCCAACGTCTCTTATGTGACCAGTTCCTGGGAAAAAGTCCCCAAATTTGTGGAAAGAAACAGTCATGACTCTATCAGTGGTGTAAAACGCTTCTTCCACTCCATCACCATGGTGAACATCGATATCTACATAGAGAACCCGCTGCAAAACGAAATTTGATTGAAAGCATGTTAAGATGCAAGCAATGGAAACATCATCTTAACATTTCAAACAGTGCTATCAGGATACCATAACAAGGCAACAGAATCCAAATTCAATGAAACATATGCAAGAAACTTGAAGAATCAGATCAGATGATGGAAACAAAACAAGTTGCAATCTGGAAAACTTTCTAATGTCTACCCAATTCTGAAACATTTCCCTACATGATAATGCAAGATTCTAAAGGTGATACGCAATTCAGAAACATGAAGGAATCAAAGCATCATTACATATATCACAAAGAGCTTTCAGATTTCAGGTAAATCTACAAAAACCACTCAATAAGATAACCTTAAACCCCAAAATTTGATACTTGTCTATGACCAGATACGAATTGAGGTAAGCAGGAAATCGATCATTTACCCTAAACATCTTGAGCAACTCGAGAATCCCTAGAACGATGTCATTAACGTAGCAAAACCCAGAGGCCTCGCTTTTCTTAGCATGGTGAAGCCCACCACCCCAATTGATAGCAATATCCGCGTCTTGACGGTTTAATTTGACGGCGGCGCCAATAGAACCTCCGGCGGAAGCACGACAAAAATCAAAAAGCCCATCGAAGACAGGACAATCCTCGCCGACGTTGAATCGCCTTAGGTTTCGTGCTGACGAAGGATCGCCCATTGATTCAGGCGAAACGGAAGCAAGGAAATCAACATACTCCGGCGTATGGAAACGACCTATATCTTCGGCGTCGGCGAGGTTAGGGCGACTGATTTCTAAGCGACGGTGGAGATGATAGTGGATGATTAGACTATGAGCCATACGGATCCGGTGAGGTTTCATCGGATGACCTTGACCGTAGTAGTAGTCTCCGATCGTTGGCTCGTAGAAGTAACTGACTCGCCGCTTTCGACCGTCGGGTCCCGACGGCAAAGAGACGCCACTTTCG